TTAATAATATATATATATATACATACATATCTATGTATATGTATATAAAAATTTGTTAAAATCCTAAAATTTGTTGGTTTTAATTAAGATTAATAAATAATTTAAAAAATTTTAATGCAGCAAGCTGCGTCTAACTAAAATTGGATCGTACTGCTCTTCTGATTAATTTTTACACAACTGCATCTCCATCTTCTTCTTCTTCTACTTGGAGGTGTGTGTTTAATCAGAAGAGTTGTTTTTACAGCGTTTTTATGCTGCTTTTCTCATATTAAACATATTTTAAATTTAAAATTTATCAAGATCAAGTTTGTTTGTTGTTTTGTTTTGTTTATTACTACAATAGCATACAATTAAAAAATCTGTTCACATWTAATTTTTATGTTTTTGTGTGTATGTATGTATGTAATTGTGTAATTGTGTGTGTGTTTTTTGCCTGGCCGAACTTGCGAGCGCTTGCAAAAAACCCTTAGCATCTTAAACAGTATCACATATTCATGAGTTGTCGACGAGCGACCCTCGCAGCGGCCCAGCAGCGAGAGGGCTGTTCGCACAGTTACGCTCGCTGCTGTGGCATGCGGATCGTCGTCTTTGAATTTCATGTTTTCTTTTTGTTTTTATTTTATAAATTTATGTTTTTTTTTTCTTCGATTTGTTTTGTTTTCTTTTCTTTTGTTTTTGAAAAAGGAGAAACAACTTAAAACACTAATTATTTTTTCTTTTGTTTTGTTGCTGCTTTTTATAGCATCTACTACGCATCTAAGTAAAATGGTGGTGAGAGTCACAATTACAAAATTGAATGCAAAGAGAGCTGCCCGATGAGCGAGCGGCGCAGGCTCAAGAGCAACTCCTTTGCTTATTAGTATGTGTATGTGTGTGAGTGTGTCGTATACTAATGTGTATGCGTTTCGTGTGTATGTATTTGTGTGTATGTGTGTGTGTAGTTGTGTAGGTGGGGTGGCTTCGAATACTTGCTTCGTCGTCGCGTTGCGCTCGCAACTAACTACTGCTCTCGACATCACAGGGGGTGTTGGGCGGTGTTGGGCGCGCTTCCTTGTCGCACTCGCTGGGCTCGCTTCTCTACATATATATATCTACATATATATGTATGTGTGTATATAAATATAACTGCGTCTCCGTCTACGTCTCTCATTCTCTCTCGCTCTTGATCTCTGTCTCTCTCGCTTTCGCTCAACTTATATCGTTGGCGTTGCAATCGCCTGGCTATGGCTAGAGCTTGAGCTTGATCGGGAGCTTGAGCCGAAGCTGTAGCTGCGTCGGGCGCCCAGGCCATCGGCAGAGTAGAGCTTATGCTTGGTGATGGTATACTCCGGACTGATGGTGATGGTGCGTGCCAGGCTCTTCATGAACTGTGGCAGCAGTGCCGCCCAGCCGCGATGATCCTGGCGCAGGGTCAGATACACCTCGAACGTGGAGACCGTTTCGGGATCCACTTTCAGCGAAGCGATGCGCCTGGAGTTCTGTGGCTCATCCTCGAACTCGATGTAGATGGTGCAGCCGCGAATGCCGCACGGTTCCTTCTCGGAAACGCGAATTATGTCCGCCGCAATGTTGGGCGTGAGATCACAGGGTAGCGACACCTCGGTGCATGTCAAATGGCACGCCTTTGCCTCGCGCAGCTTGTCCAGCAGACCGTTCGAAAGCTCGTCAACGGCAGCCATGTCAATGTCACAGCAGTCGGGCAGCTCGTCCTCATACTGGCTACTGTAGGTATTGCTGTAGGGTGTGCTGCTGCTCATGGGATGGCTGCTCGACTTGGTTTTCTTGCTTCCGCTGCTGCTGCTGCTGCTTGCCTGCTGTTTGTGCTTAATACTGTGTGTGTGCTGGCCGCGGCTGCTGCTGCTGTTGCTGCTGCTGCTGCTGGCGACGCTGGCGACCTTCTTGGCCGACGCGGCGGACGTAGGCGGTGTCAATGTGCTGGTCCAATCTAAAAGTAGCGCAAAGAAACAAAACAAAACTTTGATAAGTACAAGAAACCAATCAAACAAAATGCAAAGGCAAACGCAAAAAGCAACTGCAAAAACAACAAAAACGACGACGACGTCGACTTAGTGAACGATTAAACGGCGTTAAGTTGCTTCAGCTGGAGCTTTTAGCTGCAGCTTTTGCTGCTATTTAATGTTCATTCACACACGCACACACGCACGCACTCACACGCACACTCTTGCAAGCGCAGCGAACACCGCTTGGCAACAAGCAACAAACGAGATAAAAGCGGCATAGGCAGAGGGCACCGAGCGTGCGACAGAGAGAGGTAGAGTGAGAGGGCGAATGAGTGCGAGCAACAAGCAACACAGAAAAGAAAAAATCAGTTTTTACACAATTTTTTTTTCTTCATTTAAATTTTTTGTTGTTGCGTACGTGACTGTGTAGCAGATGTCACTGCTCATGTAATGTTGTTGTTGCTTTATTTATTTTGCATGTGTGTAAATTGATTTTTAATGCAATTTTTGCTTTCCAGTTTTACATAAAAAATCAAGTTAATTGAAATTCAGTTCACAAAATTTTTAAATTAAAAAATTTCGAAAAAATATTAGCTGAATTGAAAAATATTTTTATTTGAAATTTCTATTTCTTAGATTTCCGAAAATTCTCAACACAAAAATAGTTTTTAAAATATTTTTTTCTTTTTGCAATAATTTTAAACTACAACTTTTCTCTAAGACTTGAGCTGCTGGAAGCTTCTGGAATAGTCTAGAATCTAAGATTTCTTTCACTTTGCTTTCTTCTCTAATTTTCTAGTTTCTTTTCTTTTCAAGCTTACCTCTAACTTTGTTGGAACCGAGGACTCCGCCGTAGTTTGACTGCACAGCGAGAACTTCCATTTTCATTAGAATTTTTGTTTTTGTTTCTTTAATGAATTATTCTGTTCGATTCCTTTCGGTTCGCTTCTTTTTTGTATCACTTGAAACGTTCTTTTTATAATTAATAGAGTTCTTGTTTAGTTAATTATTTATTATTATCACAATTCGCTGGTTGTTTTTCATTAAAAATTTATGCTGCTTGATTGCTTGAAATTTGTTTGTTGTTGTAGTTGGAAATCACAGCACTTTGTTGTTGTTGGTTGTTTGTAGTATATCACTTAAATGGCGTTGGTCCGTTGCATTTGTTAATGGCAATTATTAAATTTAATAACTTTCATAAAATTATTGAATATTTGTTGATGGTGTTTTTTCTTTTTACAGTTACAAGTACTACAAGTACATTTTAGATGTGTGTGTTGAATGTTTTTTGTTTTATTCATAGAATTCTTCGTGAAACAAAATATATTTGAATTGTCCAACAGTAGAAAATTTTGAAATACACGCTTTTTATTAAATTTTTAGCTGTTAGCTGTTTGCGCTTTCTTTTATTGCTGCTTTGCCGTTTCTTACTTTTCTATGTGTTTATCTCAGCAGTGTTTCGAAGCTACTATGAAGAGTTGTGCTCCGCAGCCGCTATTTATAGGCCGGCTGCGCTCGCTCATTTGCTCTGGTGGTGGTTGGTTGGTTTGCTGTCGACTCGTTTGAGTGGTGCGCTCGCAGCAGCAGCAGCAGCAGAGGCAGAGGCAGAGCGACAGCAACAACAATGCAGTGTATGTGTTTGCTGAGCAATTAGCGGTTGTGCTCTCCGCAAAGAGACCGCTACATGCACGTATATACTCAATATGTGGCCTCACTCTGTATGTGTGCGTGTGTATATGGGAATGAGTGTGTGTGTGTGTGTATGTGGGTGCCGTAATTGTTGTTGCTGTACGAGTGCGAGCGCGAGTGCAGGTAGAAAGAAGCACAGGCAGAGAGGAGAGAAGCACAAAACGGCTGATGTAAGTTGTCTGCTTGTTACAGCGCGCTGTCGTCGTCGTAGTCGCTGCTGTTCGCTTTATCTCCCACTCTCTCTCACTCTCGCTCGCGTTTGCTTCACTGTGCTCACTCATCAGCTGTTTCACTCAACGGGCTGCTCGACTCGCTCATGCGCACCTACAACCGGCCCGGCATTGTCACCGTTTCTGTTTCTCCTTTAACTGCCGCTCTGCCGACGCTGTGCGTGCACACCAATACAAACGCCAAACACTGTGTGCACGTATACGTATGTATCTCTCGCTCCCGCTCTGTGCGTGMGAGTGTGTGTGTGTTTGCATACGTGACTTTTGTGCCGGTTGAGCATGTTTCGCTGCCGGCGCAGGCAGCGCGAACGACAGGCGGCCAGCCAGGCAGCCAGCCACCCAGCCGGCCAGGCAGCTCTAGCTAGGCAGGCAGGCAGGCAGTCAGGCCAAAAAGGATGATGGAAATGTTCTCACACACACACATGTATACATGTTGATGTGTGTGTAAGTGTATATATATTTTGGTAGCCACTTCACACCCGCCCGTTGAGCGACCGTTTCGTTCCACATTACTGCGCTGCCCGCAGTCGTTGCGCTGCTGCTGCTGCTGTTGCAGTTGTTGCTGTTTCTGTTGCTGTTGCCCCCGGAGTACGCAGCATGTCAAAATTGAAATTTTCCACTGCAGTTTGCTACAACTTCAAAAAATCGAAGCCCAGTGGCCAACGCTCACAATGTGTAGCTAATGGCATATCAAGTTGCAAGTTGCAAGTTGCTAGTTGCCAGTTGCCAGTTGCAAGTTGCTAGCTCCAAGTGCCAAGTGGCAAGTGGCAAGTCGAGAGCTGTTGCCAGGCTGCCTAATTTCACAACAATTACCCCAGAGATTTGCCAAAGATACAAAAGGCAACGAAAAGTATCTGAGCAGCAACAACTAGGAAAATATACTGTTAGTGTGAGATTGAGCACACATTGATGCTCAGACTTAGCTGAAATATGAATGAATCTAAGATATATTTAGTTAGATACAAAAAACAAATCTTAGAGATTTTCGAGATGTATCTGTGCATGTTATAACGTAAAGTATCCCAAATCGGATCTTTAATATCTTATATGTGAATAATTTTCCATTTCCGTTTTCATTTTGAACACACAGATACAAATTTTCTTGCCTTTAGCTTAGTTATAGATAGATTTACAGTTAGCTCTATAGTTATCCCAAGCCTTTTATTACCTTTTATATTTATTCATATATTTTTTCTGATATAACTGAGATCTTTGATATCTCGCACGTGAATAATTTTCCATTTTCCTTTTGCTGTCAACTTTTCTCAACTACAAATTGGCATTTCTCTGGGTTAGATATAGATAGATTTACAGTTAGCTCGATAGTTATCTACGATTTCACGCCAAGTCTTTTATTACTTTTTACATTTATTCATATACATAAATACATGCATATATTTTGTATCTGCTACGAATTTCATCAGCATTTGAAAGAATTTTTTTTCTGTCTCGATTCGGTTCGTCTTCGCCTTCTTCTTCTTCTCCTCAGTGTTTTCTTCTTTTTTCTTGTGTTTGGGTTTGCTGGAATTATTTTGATATTCATATCAGGGATTTGTTGTGCTGTGTCCTTCTTTCATTTCAATTGAATGCATCTCGACGATTATGAAACGGTCTCTGCCCCCTCGACTCCATCTCAATCACCATCTCGCCGCCCTCCTTCTATTCTTCTTCTTGTTGTGTTGCTGCTGTGCAGATTGAAAACGACAGATTGAAAGATTGAAATGTATCTTGAACCTGTTTCATCGAGTGCCTCTTTCTCTGCATCTCTCTCTGTGCGTGTGTGTGTGTGTGTGTGTGTGTGTGTGTTAGCTTGTCCGGCATCTAGAAATTTCCTTTCCAAATGAAATTCTGTGAAGTGTGAGTGTATCTTATGCTGCTGTCAGATACATTAGCTTTTGTGTAGATATGTTAAACAGATAAAAGCGAAATGTTCGCCTACTTTATTTTATTTTATTTATTAGCTGACAAATCGAAGTATGAATAGAGCCGAAGATACAAATGTACGTGTAAAAGATACTGCATCTTTTACATGATAGACAATTTAAGTTGTATATACGATGTATCTAATGCTAGACAGATGCTTCAATGTTATAGATTGTTTTACAGGCTCCTTATATGCTCTAGATATTTTCTCTATTACACGGTAGGTATCTTATATGTATTTATCGTATCATATTTTCATGTTTTGTTTTCATATTCTGTATTTTTAATCTATTAGATACATATGTATATATCTTCATCATACTAGTGTGAATTCATGCCATTTAAAAAACCAGGCACATATCCAAAAATTTTAAATTTTCACGCTCCCTAGCAACAGCAGAAAATGCTAATTTGGAAAAGCCGTGAAAATACGTGCAAAGCAAAGAAAATCACATGAAATTTAACAAGAATCTATTTTTCGGTTGTTTTTTAGAAGGCGAATCAATTCTCGGAAAATCAACTATGCAAAGATCTCTGCAGACTTAATCGACTTTCACGGAAATCTACAAAGGAGACCTAACAATTTTATGGCATTTTTTATACATAGACCTAAGTATCTGAAATTGCTCCAGAAATAAATAAAGATATTTTCGTATCTGATAAAGACGATTGCGAAATATTTGCAATGGGATAATATCAGAACCATAATTGATGACAATTGATTCATAATTTGATAATTGAATTGTCCACACACACATATACACACACCAACACAGATAACACACACCAGGGAAAAGGCAGTTCTGATAAATGTGAAGAAATTTGTGTTTCGCAAGCGAAAACGCTACGCGTGGCGCCATCTAGCGGCCAACAGTTTGCCAAGCGCTCAGAGCAGAGCGTGAGCAGGGCAAGGAATGAGTGCGATGAGCGAGAGAGAAGGAGAGAAGAGCTCTCGGGCAATGGCAATTTGTTTATGTGAAATCAATTTGAAATTTTTAGATTGTCTAAGAACAAAAACTTAAATGAATTATATTATATTACATGCAGAGCCAAAAGTATCTTTGGGGCACATAATTGATTTATGCTCAATAAGCGAAGCGCTCGACAAACTTCTTTCGCACAACATTGGGTAAAGTTTTTTTTTGTTTGAATTTTGTTGTTTGTTGCGCTGACCGCAGCATGGGGCGAGGGGGAGTGCCACTGGGGGCTGGTCGCCATTAGCATAAATAAATATGCACTTGTGTAAAAGTATGTGTGAGTGGGCTTCGTGAGTTCTATGCAAAAGAGCCTCATATTGTAACAGCGAGTTGAGTTCAGTTGAGCATATTTGGTTTGAGCTATATTTCTCTTTCTCAAACGTTGCAAATTCGAGTTGCAAAGCACTCAAGAGCGGTTACCAACCCTCTGTCGCTCTTAAATTTACTCTTTGAGCGCGTTTCACAAACCACTCACAGCTGACGGCAGACGTTTGAGTGACACTAACGAGCTGCGTCCGCACACAGCGCACAGCTGATGCGACTCAACTCTTGAGCATTTGCTCTCAGCAGCGGCCGCATGGAGAGGGACATTTGACTTTGCAGCTGTTTCGCTCATCATCTGTTTTTCTGGCGCACAGCAGGTTCCCGCATGTTCCCACTCGCACACACACACAGCTATATACATATATATGTATATAGATATTGCTGCACATAGCTATGTGCAATATATATCGCATACATATGCAATGCTGTATACAAAGTCAGCCGTAGCCGTTGAACGTTTTTATGGGCGCTGCAGCTCTGCCGGCGTTGCTGCTGTTGCTGTTGCTGCTGCTGCTCCAAACACTTCTCGTCGGCAGTCAGTATCTTGATTTTCCAACTCGTTTCTCGCAGYCAACGCGCCCCCCAAAACACACACACACACACGCATGCAAGTAATATATATTTGGTTATACATACACGCCTGTATATACATATGTGTGTTCGTGTCTGCAAGTTTGTATGCAATTTGCCTAAGGTTTTGTTGCTGCCGCTGCCGCTGCCGCTATTGCGGCTGTTGTTGCTGTTTTCCTATTGACTGCACGCTGTTGCCGATTTTCACTCACGGTGCGAGCTGAGCCGCTTGCAAACGAGTTCAGCAGCGGCAACGTCGCGCTCATCTGTTTTTCCACATATGTATGTACACACATACGCATGCATATCTATATATCTATGTGTGTGCGGCT